TTTTTGCATATAAATCCAATTCTTGGCTTTTCTTGAAAAAAAAACTGGAAGATCTGGCCCCATTAGGCTTCCCTCCTCCCTACACCCCACCCCACCAAAGGGAAACATCTAATTCACTTCTGCTTGCTTTAGATGGGCATGGATTTCTCAGCTGGACTCTGGCCCCCACTTACCCCTTGTCTCTGCCCTCACATAAATTGCCTGTCTGGCCCCTGTAAGCATTTAATTTGTCTACCCTGGCCAAAATAGATCTCTCTAGTTCTAAATCTACTGTGAGTCTAGGGATTCATATAGGTAAAAAGCTTTTCCTAAGTTTCTCTTTCTGTAGCCAAAAAAGAGACACTATAAATAAAAGCCAAGCAATACTCTGAAACAGTAGGCATCTCTATGAAAAGGAGAGATTGGGATTCTATGACATCTCATCTGTACAGAGGCAAGGAATGATGGTAATAACCTTCTTAGGTCATCCTTTCATTTCCCTACCTCCAGGCAGGACAGAAACCAGAGAAATCTAGAATGTTAAGAAACAAGGAAAATATCCAGCTCCTAAAGGCATCTGAGAAGGGTATTTACTTTCTGACCAAACCCACACCTTTTCACACAGGCCTCACCTCCCATCCGTAATAACAGGTTGTTGTGTGTCCTGTACACAATCTGCCCTTAAGCAGGTGGCAAGCTCTCCTCAGGCCATGACCCAACATTGGAACAAAAGCTCCTTTTATGCACAGTGACTAAAAAAAAAAAAAAAAAAAGATCCCGAATGACTTGGAGTTAGGGCCCAGCAGGCAAAAGAAGGCCCACCACAGGGATGGAATTTGCTGCTTAGAGACATAATGTAATTATATCCCAGCAGTCTGCTCTCAGCTCCCATAGGGGAAACCAGCCCAGGAAAGCATCTAAATATGTCAACAGCTAGATATGGGAACTGATGGTTAGCAAGTTCTAATTTACTTAACCTGACCAACTGCTGGGAAGGTACATCAACTCCTGCACTGATCTTGTGAAGCCACATCCCCAAGTACAGAAGAGAGAGAACCTGAGAACACACGCACAAGAATGAAATTCTGAACAGGGGAGGCATATTTGACTAGAAGACATATGTACCTGGCAAATTCTTGTGCAGCATCCAAAATGGTACAATGATTCCTATTTATAGGTATCCAGCACATCACAGGTTACAAAGCATTTTCACAAGGCCTAGTTATCCCTATTTTACAAAAAGGAATACTGAGCTTCAAAGACGTGCAAGAAGTTGCTCAAGTTGCACATCTAATAGCAGAATGAGGCAAGAATCTGGGTTTCTCAGACTCTAGGTCGGGTTTAATGTGATTAATAACAGGTAAGGCTAGACAGAGCACACTAAGCACCCTTGGTTATCCATCCTAGGGCTCAAATATTCCCACAGCAATGAGACTTCAAGGTAGAGCATGGAGATGCCCTGCTATGTCAGTCACTGATTTGGTCCAACGGTCTACAAGGGTGTCCAGTTGGTATGGGGTTGCTGGGGGCGGGGAGTGTCTTTTATTTGTTACTTTACTTTCCTGTTTTATGCCAAATAACCTAGGGATGATGTTCTCAAGGAGCTAATGAATCTCAGCATAGGGTGATTCTGGATGAATCAGACAACTAACCTACAATGTGGAGGTGCAGCATCCCAGTAAACCACCCATTCACCTACCAAGTTCATCATCACTAACGAAGATTCAACAGTTCAGTGTGACCCATTTCTATATCCTACCTAGACATATCAGAGTTTGAATAGATTCTACAAAGTGCTTCAGAGACGAGGGAGAAAATAAAGGCCCATGGTCATATACCAAATGGGTGGCAGAGCCATGACTAGAACTCAAGTCTCACATTTCCTAATACAGGTAGCACCATTTTCACAATACCACTCTATCCTCAACCAAAACCAATGTAGAAAAGTGGAGATTGCAATTCTATTTTTAAAGATCTACTGGAAAAAAGCTTCCACAACCTCCATCATGCAATCCCTTGCATATCACACAATCTTACCAGAAATGTAAACCTAAACAAAAATGCTCATTCATGAGAATTGAAAGGTCTACCTTGGAGCGAATATTCACATCATTAATGCAACCGCCTAATCCCATTTCCTTTTACTGGTGACATCACATCAGCTGGCCCCTAAGATTTCATGGTACTCTCATTTAGAGATATGAAGAACATTAGACTACTCTTAAAACAAACACAAAGGTTCACAATTTTCAAGTAAATGCTGATTCTGAATACAATCTGAGCCAATATGGAATATTATCTTAGTTTCTCAAAGAATAAACACTGGTATAACAGAAAGAATACTGGAGCTCTGTGTTATGATTTAAACTCTATCATTAATGCTCCAGGTCTATGTTCTAGACTTGTGCTATCTCATACAGTAGCAACTAGCCATATGTGAGCACTTGAAATGTGGCTAGTGTGAACTGAGATGTGTTGTAAGTGTAGAATACATGCCAGATTTCAAAGACTTAGTAAAATATATCATGACTTTATAGTGATAATATGATACTATTCTGAATATATTGGATTAAGTAAGATATATATGAAAATTAATATCACCTATATCTTTTTTCCTTTTTTTAGTGTGGCTACTATAAAAATTTAAATTACATATGTAGCTTGCATTTGTGGCTCTCATTGTATATTCTACTGTCCAATAGAAGTATAATGACCACTGGTTCTCGATCCTGGCTGTATAGTAAAATCATCTGGGAGCTTTTTAAAAACCTAATTTATGGGCCCCATCTTCAAAGATTCTTATTTAATTAGCCTGGAGCCTGGGTTTTAGTGGACATTTTTTTGGGGTGGGGGGGTGGAGTGATTTTGTTATTCAGCCAGGGTTGAGAACCACTGGGCTAAAACTCCATACCAAGTGGCTGCTAGGGCTATATGCCTGGAGGAACAGTCTTCCTGGCCTTCAACTTAGGGACCATCAGTGTTTGCTCACTGATATTCTGAAGCCTGGCTCTGCCATTTGCCTCCATGAGCCATCCCGGCTTGCTCAATCATTTACCACATCCCTTGATTTACTGTTTATTATAAAAATGACAATTCCTTGAGAGTGAAATGCATTTGGATTTGGGTGATGTTCTTGCTGGGTGCAGTTTAACCCTTCTTTTAAGGAGAGAGGACTTTCAGCACAAAAGACACAAGTTGTATATGTACAGAGCCTCATGCTAGTCCCGAAGGCCTGTGATTACTGATGTGCAGTTTCTGACCACCCTGGGAATGATTCATCAACCAGCAAAGCTGAGCTGAGACACAGATGGCATTTGGAAACTCTGATGGAAGATGGTGCATAAGCAGAGAAGAAAGAATTGGATATTTCATTAGGAAACTCCGAGGACAGAAGGGAATGACAGGTCATTTTGTCTACTCCCCTGTTTCTGTGCAGTGCCCTCACCTAAATCATCTCAACCAAATAACAGTGTTTTCTGGGTGTGCAGTCCTCCAAGAAAGAAGGCCTCTTTCAACCCCTAGGGCCAGCCTTGATACATGAACCTCCTTGTAGCTAATAAGGTAGTGATGGTGGTGATGATAACTATGATGATAACAATCATAAAACTAGTTACCATTTGCCAAGTACCTAATATGTGTCAAGCACTGTGCTAGATACCCTACTCACATATGTGATCTCATTAAATCCTTATAAAATGTTTGCTACCCTTATTTTTCAGATGAAGTCAGAGCTCAGGGAAGTTAAAAATCTTGCAAAAAGTCATAAAGCTAGGAGGTAGTGAAGCTGCATCATGGGTTGTCCGACTCCAAATGCACTATTCCTTCATTCATATCACACTGCCATAATTCCAATCTTGAGGCCCATCAACCTCTAAGAACCCAAGCCCCACTGACCTTTTGTTTGGGGTCCAAAGGACTTCAGCCTTATCTTACAGGAGAAACTAACAAAAGTGATAAGCTGTGGTAAGGATGATCATAACACACCTTCATGTGGCTTTGGTACTTGTCTTACCACAAAGCAGTTTTCACATGTTTTATCCCATTCACTGTGACATCCTGTGGCAGTAAAGAATTGCCAACACCATTTTGCAGGTGGAGAAAATCAGAGCTCACAATAGTCAAAGAACTGATTCCAGTTCACAATACCAAGGAAGGCCAAGAGTTGGGACACCTAGCCAATGCTCTTTCCCCATAGCACCCTGCTAATCAGTGACCAGGAGGAAGCAGAAACTGTTGGGAGCTCCCTCCCAAGAGACCCTCTTTTAAGGGCCAGGTTCTTCATAGTACAATGTCAAAGAGGTGAAGGCCTTGCAAGCCCTTACAAGCTGCCCGCTTCCTACCCCCATCACACCTTAGATCCCAGCCACTTGACTCTCTTGCAAAAAGTAAAATCTGCAATCAGTAAGTTCTAGCCACTGGGTGGCAGGGAGCCCACACTCTTACATTAACAGCTGAAGACAGTTCTCTGACAACACACAGGGGTGTTCACACTTCCTTAAAAGAGAAAATGAAGCAAAGGAAGCAGAAAGAAAGAGAAGAGAGAGGGGAGGGGAAAGAGCAGGGAGAAGAGGAAGAGGTGAGAAGGATCTACAAGAAGAAAGAGTAAAAAAAAGAGGCGACAAGCAAAATAAAGCAGAAAAGAACAGAAATAAGAAAGGCAAAAGTTCACAACAATATAGAGTTAAAGGGGTCTTCAAAAACTATAAAGAACAACCCCAGAAGGGGAAACTGAGGCCAAGACAAGGAAAGTGATTTGTACAAAGGTGGAAGGTGGGAGCAGGTGTTAAAACAAACAAGAGACAAAGGAAAAGTCTAAAAATTAGATGGGCAAGGATTAAAGGACGCCTATATATATCTATAGGAGTAGGAGACCTATATGTCTATATCTATATCGATATATATCTATATTTATGTGAAAAGCCATCAGGAGAGGAATGAACGGAAGAACAAGGGTTGGTAAAGGGGAAGCCAGGGGAAGGCAGCCAAGGAGAGAGGAGAGGAGAGTGAAAGCCGACACTCACCCTCACAAAGCTGGCAGGAAACCATCCCTCCTCATCGTCGATCTGGCCCCACCACCAATCCTTGTTGGAAGCATCCAAGACTTTGATGACGTCGCCAGCTTTAAATGCCAACTCCCGGTTGGCCATGGTGACGTGATCCCATACTGCCTCAGCACTAACGATGGAATCTCCAGTGATCAGCTTAGGAGACAAAATGAGAACGTGTTCAGTCCACACAGCTGGCTACCATGCTTGCCCCTTCCCCCACCCACAGAACTCTACTACTTATGGAGAAACTCATGTGCTAGTGGTGAGGGGTAGGGGTAAAGCTGCACTGAACCCCAAGACAAACAATACTGTCAACTCTCCATTAGCCAGTCATGGAATGACCCAGAGTGTAAATATGGACTATACAGGCCTCATGATTTTATCCCTGCTCATTAACTCGTCCCCCAGAGAAGAAAGAAAGCTCCCATCCATCTCTCCTTGGTGCTTCTAGCACTGGGTCTGGAACAGTGGAGAGGCTAAAATCACTGGCTAAAATGAGGCTCAAACTTATTAGCTTTCAATTCTCTGTGCTCCTCCCCCTTTTGTCATCCTCATTAGAACTGGCCAATTGAGAGTTGGCGGTACATTACTTAACCCCACTGCACCCCTCCCCCTGGGGTAACAGATCACGACATTCCTCACACACAATGGACATCAGTCCTGCAGCCTCCTGCTCTCACTCACACGATACCACCCAGAGAGGTCATGGGTATGAAAGAATATGGATTTCTGTGATGCCTTGTACCCAAGAAACTCAACCTTGGCACAGATTCACCTAGTGATTTGAATAACCACTCTATGAGATATAGAGGGGCTCTGGATTGACTTCTGCATTTGATGGATGGCAAAACTGAGCAGCCAAGAAGTTAAGGGATGAGGTCAGTATCACCCGGTAAGGCAAGGACTGTACATGGACCCTAACCCTGGTCATTAGACTTCATGGCCAGCAGGACTGGGCTCCACACAACAACAGGTAGACATTTATCCCTATGCCACATAAACAAACACATACACATATTCACAACACTCATCTAAGCACAGTGAAAAGAACGGGATTGGAGAGTAGTCTGCCTCTCTCTAGCTACCATCCTGACCTCTTTATTATTTGTTTTCATTTCCCCCCAACTGTTCCTGCTTGTATGGGCCATTGATCTTCCTGGCATTTGGAGAAACAGATTTCAGAATAGAGAATACATGGCCTGTCAGGCAAAGAGACTCAAGCACTCTTCCAACCACTGAATTGCTGGACATGTCCTCTTGAAGTCAACTTTCCCATTAACCTGCTTTGAGAAAGGACTGGCTCCCCAGGGCAATCATGGCTCCATAAGACCAAAGACAAAATAGTTCAAGGACAACAGAGACAGTCTATGGAATATGCATCCTCTCCCAAAGGTTTCCTCTCCAACATACTAGCCAGAGAATAACCCTGTGGTCACAAAATGAATGCACAACATATTGCACATGTACGAACACACACATACTCTGATCTTTTGATTTAGTTAAGGCATTTGCTTGTCAGGCCCTGCCTGAGGTATTCTTCATTGCTCTGGCCTTCATGCCTTCCACAGAAGGTAAGGCATAGAGAAAGCTCCTCAGCATGGATGCAAAAGAGATTTCCAGCAGGACCTTTTACACCAACCTTTCAAGGACATCATGCTTTACTGTTTGCAGTGTTTTCACATCTACTGCAACACTTGAGTCTTACTGAATGAGTTGGGTCTCACTTTTACCTATATTTTAAAGACAAGGAAACTGAGGCTCAGAGGTGGTCTGGTCCTTTAGCCAATAGCACAATAAATTATGGAACTAGGTTTTCTGACCTCATGTGCTCTTATATTCATCAAACCATACTACCAATGTCTATTGATTAGCTGTACTGAAATTACAGAACTCCATCCATATCATTAACCAGATGGTTCCTGTTCTTAAAGAAACCTAAAGGAGATTTAGATAGCCACCTCTAGTCACCAGTGCTCCTGCCTCTGAGGGATTCATTTTTATGTGGAACTTGCTTTCTTCCAGTTGTACTGAAAGTCAATTTCTCCTTGTTCTAGCAGCAGTGGAGAAGAATTGCTAGTCACTGGCCTCAATAAAATAAATGTTTATAGAGAAGCCTCCCTTCTCCTGCCAAAGATGGGTCCCAACTGGGCATTGCTAGGGCTCAATAGCACATATAGACCCCAAAGCCTCATGTTTTAAACTATAACCATGGGCAGGCAAGAGAGCAACGATGAGGGTCCTAGGCAGGAGCTGAGGGCAGCAGGCCCCTTTGCCTGGAAGCAGGTTAGAGAGCATGCCCAGGGTCTTAGGCAGGAGCCAAGGGCAGCAGCTCCCTCCACCCAGAAGCAGGCAAGAGAGCAAGCTGAAAACACCACTTTTGCATGGGTGGCCCACCACATCCACTGCCACAGCCACAGCTGCCACAAAAGCAGCTTGATGCTACAGCAGTAGCCACAACCACTGTGCAGGCAACCCACCAGACACTCAACAGCATTGACACAAGGAGAGTACCCAGGGGAGCTGGAAAGCCACAGCCACAGCTGCCACAAAAGCAGCTTGATGCTACAGCATTAGCCACAACCACTGTGCAGGCAACCCACCAGACACTCAACAGCATTGACACAAGGAGAGTACCCAGGGGAGCTGGAAAGCCACAGCCACAGCTGCCACAAAAGCAGCTTGATGCTACAGCATTAGCCACAACCACTGTGCAGGCAACCCACCAGACACTCAACAGCATTGACACAAGGAGAGTACCCAGGGGAGCTGGAAAGCCACAGCCACAGCTGCCACAAAAGCAGCTTGATGCTACAGCATTAGCCACAACCACTGTGCAGGCAACCCACCAGACACTCAACAGCATTGACACAAGGAGAGTACCCAGGGGAGCTGGAAAGCCACAGCCACAGCTGCCACAAAAGCAGCTTGATGCTACAGCATTAGCCACAACCACTGTGCAGGCAACCCACCAGACACTCAACAGCATTGACACAAGGAGAGTACCCAGGGGAGCTGGAAAGCCACAGCCACAGCTGCCACAAAAGCAGCTTGATGCTACAGCATTAGCCACAACCACTGTGCAGGCAACCCACCAGACACTCAACAGCATTGACACAAGGAGAGTAACCAGTGGAGCTGGAAAAAGAAAAGAACATCTCTCTCCTGAAAGCCCACTCCAGAGTGGTAGAATAAGCAACTGCTCTACCAGATGACCAGACATCAATGTAGAGATACTAGAAACACACCATCACCACCAAAGATAAATAAATAAATAAAAATATGACACCACCAAAAGAATACAGTAATTTTCAACTACCAAACACTATACAGCAGGAAACCCTTGAAATGACTGAAAAGGAATTCCAAGCAACAATCTTAAGGAAACTCACTGAAATATGAGATGACTCACACAACAAAATGAAATGAGAAGAAAACCACCCAGATATGAAGGGGGAAATTTACAAAGAGATTAATATCTTAAAAAAGAACATAGCAGAACTCATGCAACTGAAAGTTTCACTCAACAAAATAAAAAAACTCAACTGAGAGGTTAAGCAGCCGGCCAGAACAAGCAGAAGAAAGAGTTTCTGAATTTGAAGATAGTTTTTCCAAAATAACCCAGGTGGATCAAAAAAAGGAAAAAAGAATGTTAAACAATGAAGAAAATCTAAGAGAGCTAGCAGACAGCCTTAAGTGCACAAACATTTGAATCATGGCTGTTCCAGAAGGAGAGGAGAGAGGAAAAGGCATGGTAAGCCTATTCAATGAAATAATGGAAAACTTCCCAGGTATAGGGAAAGACATGGACCTTCAGATCCAGAAGGTTTAAAGGTTCCCAAACAGATTCAACCCAAAAAGATCTTCTACAAGACACATAGCCAAACTGGCAAAGCTCAAAGATAAAGAGAGAATATTAAAAGAAGCAAGAGGAAAGTGTCAAGTCACCTATAAGGGAGCCCCTATCAGACTAACAGAAGGCTTCCTGACAGAAACTCTACAGGCCAGAAGAAAATGGGATGATATATTCAAAATACTAAAAGGAAAAAACAACAAAAACTGCCAGAAAAGAATACTATACCCAGCAAAGCTATCCTTCAGAAATGAGAGAAAAATAATGTATTTTCCAGACAAACAAAAATTGCAGGAGTTCACTGCCACATGACCAGCCTTACAAGAAATCCTCAAGGAAGTCCTGCACTGGGAATCTGAAAAATGATAATCATTACCATGAATACACAAGAAAGAACAAAACCCACTCATAGAACAAAAATACAAATGAGCAAGAGAAAGAAACTAAATCTTACCACCACAGAAAAACTATAAGGACAATGTACTAATGCCCCGGTTTTATTTCTGATTTTGGTAATTTTGGACTGCTTTTTTCTCGGTCAGTCTAGATAAAGATTTGCAAATTGTGTTGCTCTTCTTAAAGAATCAACTTTTGGTTTTGATTTCCTCTATCGTTTTTTAATTCCCTATTTCATATACTTCTGATGCAATCTTTATTTCCTACTTATATTTGCTTTTGGTTTAGTTTGCTCTTCTTTTTCTATTTTCTTAAGTTAAAAGTTTACATTACTGATTTGATATTTTTCTTATTTCTAATATAGGTGTTTACAAGTATAAATTTTCCTCTAAGCACTGCATCAGCCCTGCATCCTATAAATTTTGATATGTTGCACTTTGATTTTTATCTCAAAATAGTCTCTACTTTCCCTGTGATTTTTCTTTTTACCCATTGTTTATTTAGGAGAGTGTTGTTTAATTTCCACATATTTGTGAATTTTCTAAATTTCCTTCTGTTATTGTTGTTGGAGAATATATTTTCTATTATTTTCTATGATCTTAGTCTTTTTAAATTTATTAAGACTTATTCTGTGGCCAAAAATAAAAATAAAAATGTAAAATAAATCATTTGAATTTCAGGAAGGTAGATAAAAGGTGTACTTTCAGATGCTCATTTAAGTGAATTAAATTAAATTCTGAACTAAAAAAAAAAAAGAGCTATAACCAAGGCTTTTTATCATGGGTCAAAAGATTATCTTGGCATCAATTACTAACCCTCTACTCAGGACACTATCTATGATGCTCTTTGAGGTTTCCCAGGCTCAGCTCTGGCTGATTACACTGCCTCTACTCTCTAACTTTGCAGT